TGACTTTTACGGTTCAATTGAAATTCAAAGGCCATCGGTTGACCGAAACAAGCCACCGATCGACCAAAACAGGTAGAAATGCAAAGAATGAATCTGTTAAGCACCAAAACTGAAAAGAAATTCCTAAGTCTCAAATGGATCCCCCTTTGCATGATTAAAATGAATTGTATGCAAGTGTGTGATGATGTGGACATACACGCAAGTGTAAAATAACATTTTAAACATGCTGAAATGGCCTATGGCCTTATTACAATTCATTTACAACATTAGACATGTCAAACCTCCAAGTTAGAAAAATTACATTTCATAGGCAAAACTTAAACATGCTAACACTTGCATGTGAACAAGAATACTTCTAAAATCACCAAAGCAAGTGCAAATCTCCAATCTTGTATCATGTACCTGAAATATGCCCCAGTAACTTTTGGGTGAGCAACATAAAACTACTCGTAGGAAATGAGCATACATCGACCTAATGTTTTACAATTTTATCACCTTAAGGTGAAACATGCTAAAAGGGCTCATGCCACCTAACGTCTATGTCAAGATGAGACTCAGGGAGCATCCTAAGCTACCCTAGATCATTTCTAGCATCAATCACATCATCCATGTAATTCAAACCACATAGGAGCATGTTATACAAAATAACATGATATAGATTCTCAAAGTTACCAACTTGAAATCTAAAGTGCCAAAACAACCAAAGTGGGTCATGCCACCTAACGTCCATGTTCCTAAGCTACATTTCAACAACAAAACACAATCACAATATCTATGCAATTTAACTAACATAGAAGCATACTATACCAAGCAATAAGATATAGATTCTTAAAGTCGTCAACTTGAAATCTGAAAGTGCGAAATCAACTAAATATAGCAATTTAGTATAATTAGAATATCTAATACCACACATCAAGACATAGATTCTCTAGGTTATCAACTAGAAATCTAAAAGTGCGAAATCAATTAAATATAGCAATTTAGTATAATTAGAATATCTAATACCACACATCAAGACATAGATTTTCTAGGTTATCAACTAGAAATCTAAAAGTGCGAAATCAATTAGTGGAACACTTGGACATCTAAGCTCGGAATTCTGCCGAGACCTCAACGGCTAATACGGGGACTAACCCACTGGTAATACCACCCCTAGTGCGCACTATCTCGACGGGGAGAACTCATACCTACCGCACCAGAGCCAAACTCTAGCCATGTTATAGTAACCATGTCCCAAGTGACTCCAAAATAAATAAGTTAACAACTTATAAACGAAATATATATATACAGCACGAAACTACATTCCATGCACAAGCAGGTTGAAACCACACAATACATGTTCTAAATCCATAATTACTATAGGATGACAATGTCGAATCTTCAGAGCGCGATTCGTTAAGCGCTATAATAACATCACATGTCGAATCTTCAGTGCGATTCGTTACACGCTATAACAATATAATTCAATATTGAAACATAATCGCATAAATCCATTACAAGTCTAAAATCATGCTTCAAACATAATATCAATATTAAACACATGACTTAATCAATAATGCAATAGAAACAGAAATTAATTATATAACCTAATTAATTTCTCTAAGTTTCATATGTCAATCAAATGAATCCTAATTCACACATATTAAACAACATAACTTATTCATTACATGAATCAAATTAAAAGCTTACTTAGGTCATTAGATCAATAGGATGGAATTTTATTAAAACATGGTAATTAAATCCCTAAATTCTAAAACAACGTTAAATGGTCCCAAATTAGTATATACTAGTATACAAGTCCTAGTCATCACAAATATTAAGTTAAAAACTTACTTAAGCTAACGGAACCTTTAAATAGATTTTAATTAATCATTTTAATTAAAAACTCTAGATTTTCATACTTAACCAAATGCTCTCAAATTAAAGTATGTTAAACAACATGCCAAGACTTAATTTAATAGCATGCTACAAGTTAATTTCATGCAAGGTACGTCTATGATAATTAAACTTTCACAAAAGACAATTATTAAATAAAAAGTGCAATTCTTATTCAAATAATTCCAATTTAATATATATTAACAAACATATTAAAACTTAATTTTCTAGCATGCCACAATTTAATTCTAAGTCATATAACATCATGAGAATTAAATCTTAATCATAGAAATTAATTAAATTAAATTCTAGATTTTAAACAAAAGCATGCATACAAGTTGTGTAATCATGGGAAACACTTAACACAAAACATAAATAATCCTAAAACATCCCCTACCTCAATTTGAAATGAAAATCTCAAAAGTCCACCGAAAAAAAAGTGCTCTGAATCCGACGATACCGAAGGGTTTTGTTGGGGACAACACGATCTACATGAACCCCCAAGAAGCCCCATCAAAATCACAACTTGGCTTCAATCACAAACTCAAAAAATGGTCAGAAATGAGTTCTAATAAGGGTGAAAGATAGAGCACGACGAGGGGAACAACAAACGTTAAGGCCAAAGACTTTTCACTTAGGAAATCAAGTGGAGGAGAAGAAGAAAAGGTGGCATCCCAAGGAGCTCCCATGGCTTCCGGCCAAAAGGGGGAGAAAGATGATCAAAATCTGACTTTTCTTCTTTAAGTCCCCTATTTATAGAAAATCTCAAAAAGTGCCCCGAAAGGGCCCTACCGGGTCCGGAAATGTAGAATTTGAGCAGACGTGCTCAAACGGAAAAACTCCATGAACAAAAAGATTCAAAATGAGAAAAGATGAACAACGGAAGAAATGGCATCAAAAACTGAGTTCCTAGCAGTAAGTTATGTTCCAAACAAGTTCGGCGGCAACCGGAGCCAAAAACCCTGAAACTGGAAAACAACAACCAGGGGGAAATTCTAAGAGTGCACGACTCGACGAAATGTGAAAATGAGTCCCGTACGAGAATCCAAGCTCCAGATGAGGTATTTTTGCAATAACTTTCGTTAATTGCATAATGGCCCCTCCAAAAAGTGAAAACTGCACTAATGCCCAGAAAGAAAATATCTTCCAAAAATATTTTCTTTAAAACCCCTAAAATAAAATATCTTCAAAATATATTTACGAAAAACACCCCAAGAAAAGAAAATAATTCCAAAGAACTATGCATCCATGCACCTATAGACACCGGGAGCAACTAGAGTACTTTGTTACAAAAATAAAGATACGTATTTCATAGAAACCACTTAGAATGAAGATACATGAAGTCAAAAACCAACTCTGAACGCAAGAAGTATGGTTTTGCAAACAAAGTGACAAACGGGGAAAAGACAAAATAGGGAAAAAGACGAAATAGGGAAAAGGACGAAAAGTGAATAGTGTCGAAAAACGAAAAATGTGGAAATGACTCGGTCCTCAAAGGAAGTTGTCAATCCAAAGAAAAGAGTCTCGGAAATCACTCCAGAGCACTCGAGATGACACTAAGTGACGAGGAACTGAACTCAGAAAGGAAAAGATCAACGAAAAAAAATATATCCATAAAAATCTGAGGAAAGGGAAAGGAATAAAAATGACCGGGTCATTACAGAGGTGGCACGCTTTCATTAGTTCATTGCCTTGAAAATATCTAAATGATTCTCTCCAAATGATTGGTGGAAGGTGACAATTGTATTGTTGGAGCTGTATAAGGGCTGTTGTGAGTGCACTTGTATATATATGTTGTTATAAGGCTTCTTAGGGTTTAAGCCTAAAATGCATTCTATTGAATATTGGGCTGCAGCTGTGAAAATAGGTTAAGGATGGAAAGATCTAAATTACAGCTTTAATTTAGGGCTAGCATGACAAATATGATCGTAAAGAAATTTGGGTTAACTTGATACATGGGATGTAAAGGAAACCTAAGTTCTTCCATGTGTGAGGAGGAAAAGATCATCTCCCCATCATCAAGTCCTTTACCGATCTCATAATTAGCATTATTGGGGTAAGGTCTAAGTTGGACATCAATAGGAACTTGACAGCGTTCGCACAGAACGTCTACGTCTACAGACATGGTAAAGTAAAACCTAAAGACCCAGAAAGTAAGGAAAATGAAATAGTTCGAAGAAGAAAGAGCAATTGACCTCGCCGGAAAAGGATAGGATCACGCCAAAGAACTTGTTGTGAGGGAAAGATTGCCAAAAGAGGAAGAGTAATGATTGAAGGATTGATGTAAGCCTTTAGTCAAAACACAAGTACAAACAGCAGAAGAAACTGGGGTTGCAGAAGAGATAGGTATATAAAGACAAAGCAAGTCACGCTAATCGAGAAACTCAAAATTCAAGCAATGATGACAGTACAGAAGCCCAAGAGATACACGCCACCTCCTCCACGCATTAGTGTGTATCTGTCTTCAATACACACAAAGCCAAAGGCACATCCATGTACAATTGTCCCACATTCGTAAGGGACAGTTGTAGGGGCAAGATGAAGGGATAGAAATCCTATTGGGCCAAACGCGGCCCAACCCGCCCATTGATAAGGGACATTCAACGACCGCCAAGTCCAACCATGTTCATATCAAGCCCAACCCTTAAATGGGATGGCCCAAGAAGAGAACCGAGTCCATTTACTCCCAACTTGGAGTCCAAAAAAGGGAATTAGGGTAGCAAGCAGTGTACTGTAAATAAGGAAGGAAATGGGGAGTGTATTTTGGTGTAAGAGAAAAGTTTTCCACCAATAGAAGAAAATTTTCTTTGCATCTACATCCTCAATCGACAATCAATAGAAGAAAATTTTCTTTGCATCTACATCCTCAATCGACAATCAATACATATCCCGTGTAATCACTAAAACTATTTTAGCTTTTTATATAACCAACCTTAATTATATTTTTTCCTTGTTTTCGCTTACACATCACTGCATAATTTCATCTCAACAAATAATTTTCCTTGGTGTGTTGCTCGGCCTGCATTGACATCCAAATGGCATGAAAATTTTATGCACAAACAGTTTTTCTAATTTTTTTATAGCCATGATTTGTGATTGTTATTTTCTCACGAAGAGACTCAAAATTTTCATAATATACAATAATTCAATTATGCCCAGTTCAAAATGGGCCATTAATAGAGGCATTGCTGTGAATCGTTCCATAATCAAACCCATCATTAATTAGTAGTATAAGTGGTCTAAGATTGATTTTATGACTCTACTATGGACATGGATCAATAATAGTCCACCGGGGTGTCGGGGCAACTGTCTTCCGATACAACATCTCGATTAAACGGTGGAGGAATGAATGGTGGTGATTGACATCTTAATAGTGCCCAATTGACTCCGTTGAAGAACGCATGGTGTTTGATTACCGTGGCACCCATTGTGGACCCCATTCGTCTTGTCGGATCCTTAACCAATAGTTGTGAGATGAGATCCTTAGCCATAGCGGGCACGATCGGTTCTTTAGGGAACTCGAGAGCCCGAGCCACAATGTTAGCTAGGGTTAGCTCATTGTCCACCCCTTTAAAGGGTGTGACACCATACAATAGTTCAAACATAAATATCCCTAATGTCCACCAATCCACGGCACTACCATGCCCCTCCCCTGAAATAATCTCTGGTGCCAAATACTCGTGGGTCCCAACAAATGACATCGAGCGAACATCAATGGGCTCCGACACGAACTCAGGCCCACAGTGTCGGCCTGGCTTCTTCTTCCGCTTCCGTTTCGGGTGGAAGCATGACACCGCAGGTACCATACAATTGGGAAGAATACATGAAGATGAGGTAAAAGGTGGTGGATCAACCCGGTACTCGGTTGGCCGTGGCGTAGCCGGTGGTGGATTTTGATCGGAAATGATCTGAGCTGTTGAAGTAGAAGCGTCGCATTTTAACGAGAGATCAAAATCGGTCAGCATGATGTGGCCGTCCGATCTAACTAGTACATTTTCAGGCTTGAGATCACGGTAAACTATTCCCATCATGTGAACATACTCTAGAGCCACAACCACCTCCGATGCGTAGAACCTGAAACCAACAAGAATTGAATATATGTATTAATTAGTTATTAACATTATTAAATCCATAATATATATATATATATATCTATACAGATACCTTCTTATTCTCATAATTGATCATATTCCAAAAGATTGGCAATGGAACAAAATGTATGGTAGACTGGGCCAGCATCCCATCACGGTTTAGCTGGACGGTGCATACATTTTCCCGTAAAATTGGATAAAATTACAATAATGCCACTGTGCGTGAAAATAATTGAGTTCCCACAAGACTTCTGATTAGGATTTAGGTAACACCATGGATCACAGGGACCTACTTAGTACTGAGGTCATTTTGATATTTCTACTTACACAACCTCCTTACACTTTTCCTTCATGAATTATACATATACATACATATATATATATATATATATATATATATATATATATATAGAGAGAGAGAGAGAGAGAGAGAGAGAGAGGGGGAGGTATGTGTAACTCCACCATAAATATGTCTCCCTAAACGGTGAGGGACCTATGTGTTGCTTGTGGGTATCCCATAATCCATGGAATGTCTCAATACTTCCCATACAATATATCGCCATATTCGGACTGATCTTTTACTTTTCCTTTTTCTAGATCATATCAGAATTCAATTATTAGTAAATAAAAAATAAAAATAAAGCATGAATCCAAAACAATATTTTAGTACAAATTATATTACAACAGCTTAAATAAGAAACCAAAACTATTTTTTAGAACAATTTGCTTCAATGACATTGGAACAGCTAAAATAAGCAAAATGATATTATTCACAGAAAATAGTCTAAATTGGGTTTATTTTTGTACAATTAACAACTCTAGAAATAATTTCTTTTATTTTATCTTCATTTTATGGGGAATAGCTTGGCTTTATCTATATGTCTTCCACTTTTTCAAAAGTTCTAGATTTAATGTCATTACATGTGAATAATTGGATTTCTTGAGATATTCAAACCTAGATTAATCAAGAACCGTGTGGGAAAGAAAATGTAAATGATAAAACCTACCTAAATATTTAATTCTATTAAAATTCAAATTTCACCTTTCGAGAATAATAATAATAATAAAATCATTGTCTTCCAATAGGCACCTCTCTCTACCCATGAGACTAGATTTAAACAAATGCAAAGGAAAATAAATACAGATAGGAGGGTCCAACAATAAGTAGTAGCAGGTACCATCATCCCTCCAAATATGAAAGAAAGAGAGGAGGGAAGACAAGTGCCTTATAAAAATTTTAAATTACAACACTATCCCCTATATAAATTACAATATATAAATAGTGATGGATATAATCATATAATGGTAAAATAATTGTGAGCTTAGTTTTATCTTATTTTTTATCTAACCGAACAAAAAGAATAAATGACACAATCTCTTCTCTAGAAATGTTTCATCCATCCCTTCTTCTTTTCCTTACATTCAAATTTTTTCTTTTCTACTGAACCAAGAATTATTATAATTGAAATGTTATTTTGATCGATTTTTATACTGAAAATGGATTATATATTACAAATAAAAGGAATAGTTTAAATTTTGCCATTTACATAACTAGAACTACCATGCAATTAAACAAAGTGATGCAAAAAGCAAGTAGATCAATGAATTTTTAGGGTTATAAATGGAAGAGAATTAATCAAATAGCAGTGGCATAAAGAAATAAGGTAAGATCAAGGGACCACCGGCCCAAAATACTAAAATTTATAGAAGGAATCCCGAAATCGCGCAAAAAGTTAACGCATAAATGGATTGATCAACAACGTAGAGTTTCTACTGTTGTTATGGGCAGAATAGACATTTTGAAAAAGTTATAGTGATTCATAACAGAAATTTTTTTTTGGCCATACACGAGAGGACTCTGCGTGTGCGTTTTCATACAATTGCTTTCAAGTTCGTTGGCTTGATAGCAAGCATAAAACTTTGTGGTGACTCCTATAAACATGAATTTTAATTTGAACAAAAAAAAATTGAGCCTTGTTCATTTGCATAGAATTCAAAATTTTAAATTGAAGTTTTGTGGAATTAAAAAAATACAATTCACAAACTTGAATCAAAATTTTCTCTAACTCTAATTTCTTGTAACCAAACACAACCTTGTTTCATTTGACTTCTTCATAAAAGATGATGTCTTGATCTAAGATATGAACGAAATAAAAATAAATAAATAAATATTAAAAAAACATATGAGACAATATCAGCTGTTGTTTAATAGTTCAGAACTTTGTAAAAAGTAATATTGTAGGTAAGCGTGCGTTGTTAAAATTAAAAAATAAAATAAAATAAAATAATTATTTTTTAATAGTCTACCCTTTAAGATGTCTAGTAAATCTTTTTGATGTTTTAAAACATTTTCCTATAGTTGACTTTCTAATTAATATCATTTGCCGGTCCCAACCAACCCGCCTAGGGTGTGTATTGTTTTGGGCTTTTGGCCTATGTCCGAAAGCCCCTGCATCTCATCTCATCTCATCTCCGCTAAATAAAATACTTACTCTTTTCATCTCAAATTAAATGTCCTATTTAAAAAACCGTCATCTCCGCTCCTCTAAAAATATAATTACTCTTTCAACCTCAAATAAAATATTATGAGTCACGGTCCTCCCAACAGGCTTGGGACGGATCCGTCTCTAGCGACACACACTTTCCCGAGTGCTGTAGGTTTAATCTCAAGCTACTGAACAAATAGTTTGCAAAGATTAAAAAAATAAAAAACACTAATCCAAAAAGATTGATTAGAGTTAGTGGACAAACTAAGTAATTTGACCTTGAACTAATAAGACACTATGGATCTTAGGTGGACACGAGCACGTGTGATCGCGACTCCCAATCTTTTAACCTCGATCACTGAAACACACAGACACACAGTAAATCCAGTTCACTCTGAGTCGGAGTTCAGTGACCAACCAGTGGGCCCCACGACCGACGAGCCCAGCTCCGAGCCACAACCCAGCAATACAACCAACTAGCTCTGGTGGGGTCCACGTGAAAGACGGCATTATTTCCGCCACATGTCCAAAACTGGTGTGGTTCGTACACCTCGAGACACTGAATCATTTCCATAAATATAATATAGTAATATGTGTAATAATCTGATATTATTTCCGTCTTAAAAATAAATAGCGTTTAAGAATCAGTTTAATTTGTAGAGTGAAAGTCACACTCATGGGTCGGAGGGAGTATAATTTAATTTAATTTAATATACTTAGAATTAAAAGTTTGCTAACGTGCGCACCTGACGGCGGATTCGTGGAAGCGTTTGCCGGGCTGGCGCTGGCGGAGGACGTGGAGGTCGCCGCCGGGGCAGAACTCGGTCAAGAGGCAGGACCACTTTGGGGACTCTAAGGTAGCGTATAGGGTGGGCAAAAATGGGTGATCCAACATTTCCAGTATTTCCCGTTCTGTCCTCGCACGCCCTTCTTTATTACGGCTTACCAGCTCCTTCTTGTCCATGACTTTGGCGGCAAAAAGAGAGCTACCGCCATTGACGGAGGAGGACTTGAGCTCGGATAAGTAGACGGACCCGATGTCGCCGGAGCCCAGCCGCTGGAGGAAGCGGAGGTCGGAGAGTGAGAGTTGGCCGGAGTGGGACTCCGATCTGGCTCGCCGGACGGCGTCCCACCAGGGATCTCCGGAAGGGGCGTGTGGCTTCGCGTTGGTGCTGGTACGTACTGAAGCTGCGGTCCAGGTGGTCTCGGACCCAGAACTGGTGCTGCGGTTGATCTCGGCAGTGGTGGCTGTGGAGTTGAAGCTCATACTTTCGAGGTCGTCGCCAAGGTCGTCCAGCCATGGCTCCATTCTTCCTGTTGAGTGTTTTAGAGAGAGATAAAGACAGAGAGAGAGAGAGGTTTTAAAGGATTGGGGGGGTCCTCCTTATTCCTTGCGGGAGAGAGAGTGTGCGCTTTTGATGAGTGGGGTAAAAAAAGTGGGCTTCGGCATAAGGAGCCCAAGTGGATAAATTGGATTTGCATAGAGGAGAACACCCGCGATTTATATATCTACCGGTTATCATAAATTTAGAAAATTAAGAATAGTTTTTAGAGAATTATAAAAAATTATTTTTTAGGATAAATTGGATTTGCATAGAGGAGAACACCCGTGATTTATATATCTACCGGTTATCATAAATTTAGAAAATTAAGAATAGTTTTTAGAGAATTATAAAAAATTATTTTTTATTAAGAATAGTTTTTAGAGAATTATAAAAAATTATTTTTTAAAAATAATTTTTTATAACTGAAGTTTTTAAAAAATTGAACCATTCAAAAAAAAAATTTATACAGTTTTTTGTTTTACAATTTTCCGATAACAGAAAATTATTTTTATAGTTACAAATTAAACAAGTCATATTTTACTGCTTTTTCCTAGGTTTGGAAGTAAAGTATTTTACCGGAATTGAATTTGAAATAGAATTTCAAGTGTTTGGAATGTGTTGAATTTTAAAAAAATTGAGATTTGACGTGATTTCATAAAAAATATAATAACTTAAACAAATCTCGGAAAATTTGAAGAAATTTGACACGATTCGATAATGAACAATACTTAGGTCCTCATCATACACCATCCTCACTGTATATACATACTAATTAAAAATGAACATATGTTCTTTTCATTTCTAAATCAAAGATATTGACAGGTCTTTAATTTATTAAGTGAATTTGTACTCAGTGTCGCATTCTAAAATTGTACAAAATTTATTTATTTTCAAATTCCTTTTTACAAAACCCATTTTATTCCAAACATAAAATAGAATTATATATTAATTACAATCCAATTATAATTTAAAATCCAGATATATATGATTCCAAGTGAAGCATGTGGGTTTTCACTCACACCCGGTCTACACTGTGTGTAGGGATGTCAATTTTTTTCGCCTCGCAGGGGCCCCGCCCATCTCGCCCCGTTAATAACGGATATGGGAACACTTTTTATACCGTTGGGGTGGTCGTGGATATAAATTGTGTACTCGTCGCGGGTCACGGGGCAGGTAAATGTTCAGTATACATATCCTAAGAGGCCTGTCCCGTCTTGCTAAGCATATAACTATATTTAATATATATATATATATATATAATATAATATAATATTAATAACTTATTTTAGCAGCTTACCAGTTTTCTATCTCTTACAATCTTAATTTGGAATGTAAACTTGGTATTAAATTTGTTTTTGTTTTAATTATGGTGGAAGTCGGAGCTTAGAACTTCTTGTGATTTGATTGTATTAAATTTTTATTTTTGTTTATTATGTTCTCTGAATTATGTTATGTGCATGTTATTTTTTTTTATTTTTGTTGGGATACATAATTTCATTTATGTTGTTTCATTCCCAGGCTTTCCACATTTAAATAGCAGGAGCTTAAGTTCCGAAAAGTGGGAGAAAAAAAATTGTTAGCGAAAGGGCACAGGGGTATAGTATTTCCCAACAGGACGAGGCTGGACATGAAAATCCAACTCGTCACAGGTCTCAGGGCGGACATGGACTTGACAAAAATTAAAAGAGGCAAGACGGGATTTAAGGAAACCCACTCCAAACTCGCCCCGATGGTGCCCCGTTGCCATCCCCAACTGTGTGACTTAGGGGGAGAGTAGCCATAACAAAAAAAAAGATAATTATTTAAGGTAATGATAAGTTAATATGGATTCACGTGGGTAAGTTGTGAACGAGAATAATTATTAGTGAAATTCAAGCAAAGTTAATATAATAGTAAATGTTGATATAAAGCTGTTAAAATAAATGCAGCTCTTGGATGCCATAACAACCTCGACTTTATTACTGGAGCTAAAGTCTGTTAACGCACTTCATGCATTGTACCTGCCATTGTTAATTATCATGTATAGCATTTCATATTGGTTTATTAATTTAGCTTTTAAAATAAAATGTTCTTTTGGTAGAAGAGTAGATTTGGTCCCTCTAAATTAGATGCCCTTAATTGATGAAAGATGAACTTATATTAGGTAGACCCCTCATTCATGTACACGCGTGCATTCAACTCAATTTGGCAATTCAGTATTAAATCCAATAAATCTCACTTGGAGTTGGCATGAATTAACTTGGACCTCCAGCTCATTTTTTTGCTATTTCCTCACTTGAGTTCTGAGGATTATCAGAAATAGTAATAATAGTAGTAATAATAACAATAATAATAATTCAGAGGATTAAGTAACCAGTAATCGTGTACTGTATTTTGTTTTACAATTCAATGATGACATCGAAAAGTAAATTTGGGCCTACCATTAATGTGGCCCGCCTTGAAAGATGAACTAATGACAGCTCAAAATAAGATCATGGATCAACCCAAATTGTCTAATTACCCAACCCACTTTTATAGCCCAATTCCAAATTGTTAAGTAGCCCAAGTCTATTTGAAAATTGGGCTAGTTAAGTGAATAATAATTATTCTTAATATATAGGGGATGATTATTCGAAGTGGTAATTATCACCAAAAAATAAAATAAAACAATTTTAAATTTGACAATTATCAAGAGTGGCACAAGTTATTATTTCACCCCTCAATTGAATCTATAAATAGAGCTAGAGGGGTGGAGAAAAAGGGGGTCTTTAACTGAAATCTGCTGGATTCAACACTTGAAGTTATGAAGGCATCTAACCTTACGCTTTGAAAACGAACCATAAGCACATTCTACAAGTGCCAGTCCTCTTCGAAGAGCTTCAACCAACCGTTTGAAATTAAGTTTCCATGGCTCTCAATTAGAAATCAATCCAAACTTTCTTCATTCTCAAACATTTGAAGAAAGTTTATCATCCATAAAATCAAAGCTCTTCAAGTACAAATTCTACTCCTTTTCACCCATTCTAATTGGATGAGATATTGAACATCAAAAAGCATATAATGGTTGCCCTTAATGGCATGCAATCAACTGTGCAATTGATCAATACTCAGTCCTAATCAATAGCTAAAATTGAAACCCAACTGGAACAATTGGTTAATTTTGTGAATCAATTTCATAAAAGGGATATGGGTAAACTTCCAGCTCAAATAGTGGTAAACCCAAAAAGGCAATTTGTGATTGATGAACTCCCTCCTCCGAGTGGACTACATTATGAACAAGTCAATGCAATCACTACACTTCAGAGTGGAAGAGTTATGGATAACATGGTTTAGGAAAAGACTGAAATTCTTGCTCCTAAGGAGCAAGTCCCCCCCAAGAACCTAAAATTAGTCCAGAAATTCCAAATCCGCCAATCCCAAGTGTTGAGACATCTTATGAGCCCAAGGCTCCTTATCCTCAACGTCTAAAAGAGTTTACTCACTTTGGGAACAAGGGCGATAAAATTCAAGATATGTCGGAAGTCTTTAGGCAAGTAAAGATCAACATTCCTCTTCTCAATGCTATAAAACAAATTCCACCTTATGCAAAATTTCTTAAGGATTTGTGTACATAAAAACACATTTCCAAAAGCAACATTCCTAAAAAGGTAAGGTTGACTGAACAAGTGAGTGCCATAATTCAGCACAATACACCTCCAAAATTCAAGGATCAGTGTGCCCCGACAATTTCGTGTGTCATTAGAGGTAACGAGATTAAAAAGGCCCTCCTTGACTTAGGAGCGAATGTAAACTTTGATTCCTTATTCAGTTTACTTGCAACTTGGCTTTGGGCAAACTAAAACCCACTTCGGTTGTCTTGCAACTTGCGAATAAATCCGTCAAGTAACTCGTGGTATCATTGAAGATGTAATCATCAAAGTGGACAAGTTCTACTTCCCGGTAGACTTCTTGATTTTGGATACCGAACCAGTCCATAATCCTAAAAGACACATTCCTGTGATCATTGGTCGCCTTTCTTAGCCACGGCTAATGCTTCAATTAATTACCAAACCGGGGTGATAGATATTTCTTTTGGGAATATGAAGGTTAAGCTCAACATCTTCAATGCTTCTCAACATCCTCCAGATGAAAATAAATGCTTTACTTTCGACACATCAGATGAAATGGTCGAAGAATCTCTTCCATTCATTCCAAGTTAAAATATCCTTGAAAATCAGAAAATTCATAATCAATTTGGAAAAGGTTGTTATCAATGATCTAAGTTGGAAGAAAAATTCAGAGATTAAGGATAATCCAACTCTGCAGTCTTCTCGGTGGGAAACACCAAAGGAATCCCTCTCTTGAGAAAATGAAACTCCTATCATTCCTCAATTTGAATCATTGAATTTCGAAGTATAACCACTGGATATATGTGAACAAGGTCCAAACCTTTTTATGAATATTCAAGGGTCAAATTTTGAAGGAACTTTGTCGATACCTCAAAAACAACCAGACAATTTGAATTTAAAAATGAATAATCTTAGGTTGTGGGGTGTACTTAGATCTCTTAGGACCAAAATTGCTTATTTCATCCCTTCACAAGGCATTGATCCAAGTTTATAACCCTATGAGGGAAATGAGCCGTGTATTGAAAATGTGGAGACCATCCTCTTGACGAATCCAATTTATAAGGACCAATGAGATTCCCACCTCGTCGAGCTATCAACGTTAAACTTAGCCAAAAATTTTAGGGAGCACCGAGCTTCCTAAAATTCTTCATCTCTCTTCTCTTCAAAAAAAAAAAAAAAAAAAAAAAAAAATCCAAAAATATGAAAATGCCTAAGTATGAACCTCAAATTTAGCGTTTTTTCAAAAGTGCTCTGATTCTCATTCTTTTGGTCATACTAGGTGTCTCGGGTATCAAACAGGCTCTGTTGAAAAAAGAAAAAAAAAATTGAGATCATTTTGGGCTCCATTTTCCAAAAATAAAATTCTAGAAAATTGAAAAATGGGCATTCGGATGCAACTCCTTGCGTCTGGACGCAAGCTCACCTGGGAGCAACCCATTTTCAATAATAAAAAAAAAAATTGAGTGTTTCATGAATTGTAGATCCCGTTCCGGCCTCCAAATGGC